CCCTTTTTAAAGATGGGAGTGACGTTAGCTACCTTCCAGTCCTCAGGAATGGAGGCAGATTTTAATGAAAGATTACATATTTTTGTCAGGAGATCCACAAGTTCACATCTGAGTTCTTTCAGAATTCTCGGATGTATGCCATCCGGGCATGGTGATTTATCAGTTTTTGAGTTGTCTATGAGTCGTAGGACCTCCTCTCTCATCACCTCAATGTGACTCAGGTCTCTCAACACTGCTCCCGAAATCAGTGGTTCTGGAGTGGGCAAGCACTTCTCATCTTCCACAGTGAAGAGAGAGGGAAAAAATGCATTTAGCTTCTTGACCATTTCCCTATCGTCCTTCACTACTCCTTTTACCCCTTGGTCATCCAAGGGCCCCATTGCCTCCCTGGCTGGTTTCCTACTTCTAATGTATTTGAAGAAATTTCTATTGTTGGTCTTTATATTTTTTGCTATATGCTCCTCATATTCCCTTTTTGCCTGCCTGATCACAGACTTGCATTTTATTTGCCACAGCCTGTGTTCCCTTTTATCAACCTCACTGAGACTAGCTTTCCACCGCTTAAAGGAATCCTTCTTACCTTTTACAGCTTCCATTACTTTGTTAGTTAACCATGCAGGCTTTTTCCTATACCTATTTGTGCGCTTCCTAACCTGCAGTATATATTTTTTCTGAGCATAAAAATCTAACACTTATTCTGCTCAATGATCTTCGTAATAAGAGTGGCGGCACAGGCTAGGTGTCAAGGCCAAGAGCCAGGGCTCTATATTTAAGGTTGGTGGTGGTAATAATGGTGGCAGCTCCTTAATTGAAGGCCTGGTGGAAGAGCTCCATCTTGCAGGTCCTGCAGAACTGTAAAAGATCCCGCAGGGCCCTGATCTCTTCCGGGAGCTCATTCCACCAGTATGGAGCTGCCACTGCAAAGGCCCTGGCCCTGGTAATAGCAAACCTGGCATCGTTGGGACCCAGGAGGGTCAGTCGATTATGAGACCCCGATCATAGTGCTCTCTGGGGTATGTAAGGGGAAAGGAGGTCCCTCAGCTAAGTCGGATCCTGGCCATATAGAGCTTTAAATGTAAGAATCAGCACCTTGAAGCGAGCTCGGTATGGTATTGGCAGCCAGTGCAATGTCCTCAGCACAGGCTGGATGTGCTCCCACCTGGGGAGATCCATCAGCAGCCTGGCTGCAGCATTGTGCACTAGCTGTAGCTTCTGAATATGTGACAAGGGCAGCCCTATGTAGAGAGCATTACAGTAGTCTAATCTCGAGTTGATCATCGCATGGATCACTATTGCCAGGTCATTGCAGTTGAGTAAGGGAACCAACTGTCTAATGAGCTGAAGATGGTAAAAGGCTGACCTGGCATTGGCTGCTACCTGGGACTCCATTGTTTAAGATTAGAACATTGGGGAGGGGGCTTCTAAATGGCTCTGTCAGTAAAAGGCAGGGGGAGTGGGAAGGGCCCTTTCCAGGCCTATTTTGTCCTTTCAGGGAGGGAGACTTGGAGCCAGGCCTGAAAAAGGTTGCCAGTGCCAGGCTGGGGAATTCCCAGAGGTTTTGTGGTGGACTCTAAGGAGGGTTGGGTTTGGGGAAGGGAGAGGCCATGGCTGGATATAATGCCACAGAGTCCACCCTCCAAAGCAGCCATTTTCTCTAGGGAGCTGTCTATAGTTTAGTTATAATTCTGATGCGGATTTCCAGGCCCCACTTGCAGGTTGGCAACCCTAGACCTGGCAGACGTCTAGGGCTGACAGGTCCCTCCCCCAGCCACTGGCAGGGGATGGGGGGGGGAGGCTGCCAGATCAAGGCTGGGAAACTCCTGGAGATTGGGGGGGGGGTGGAACCTGGGGAGGACAGGGACCTCTGTGAGGTATAATGCCATAGAGTCCACCCTCCAACGCATCCATTTTCTCCATGGAAAGTTATTTCTGTAGTTTGGAGATGAGCGGTAATTCCAGGGGATCCCCAGGTCCCACTTGTAGGCTGGCATTCCTAGGCAGCACTCTCTGGGTGACTTGATACCACCTGATTTGCATGACTCAACAGCAGCCATCCTATGAAAGCCAGTGTGGTGCAGCAGTTAGAGCATCAAATTAGGGTGTGCAAGACCCAGGTTCAGATCCCCATCTTGCGGTGGAAGCTGACTGGGTGATTTTGGACCAGTCACATACTTTCAGCCTAACCAACCTCACAGGGTTTGTAGTTCAAATAAAAAGGAGGAGAGAATAAAATAAGCTGCTTTGGTCCCCACTGTAGAGAAAGACTGTAGTTTTCCTAGGTAGAGGCTGTGGGGGAGGGGGTGGAGATGGAGATGGAAAGCTGAAGACAGAGAGGCAGATAAAGGTAGGTGGGCTGTAAGGAATTATGGTTGCCAACTCCAGGTTAGGAAAATCCTAGAGATTAGGCAGGGGGGGCCCAAGGGTTT